TTTTTGGTGAATCCCTGGGAAATGGATGCCCTATGGGGGGTGTGTGCCCTATGGGGGGACGATCTATGGGTCGGGGCGCTATGGGGCGTGCTATGGGGCACGCTATGGGGCAGTGCCCCACCTGCAGGAGGGGGGTGTACTTGACGGTGTAGGAGTAGTCGTGGTTGTCGATGAGCTCGAAGTCCCTCACGGCCGGCCCCGGCCCCGCCCCCACGAACTGCACCTCCAGGGGGGCCTTCCCCGTGCCCCACATCCTGGAGGGGATTATAGTTGATAGTGTAGGAAAGGGGTGCCCTTTGGGGGGGAATCCCTGGGGGATGGGTGCCCTATGGGGGGTGGGTGCCCTATGGGGGGGCGATCTATGGGTCGGGGCGCTATGGGGCATGCTATGGGGCACGCTATGGGGCAGCGCCCCACATCTTAGAGTGGTTACACTCAATGCTGTAAGGAAAGTGGTGCCCTTTTTGGGGAATCCCTGGGAGATGGATGCCCTATGGGGGGTGGGTGCCCTATGGGGGGGCGATCTATGGGTCGGGGCGCTATGGGGCGTGCTATGGGGCACGCTATGGGGCAGCGCCCCACATCTTAGAGTGGTTACACTCAATGCTGTAAGGAAAGTGGTGCCCTTTTTGGGGAATCCCTGGGAGATGGATGCCCTATGGGGGGTGGGTGCCCTATGGGGGGGCGATCTATGGGTCGGGGTGCTATGGGGCGCTATGGGGCACGCTATGGGGCAGCGCCCCACATCCTAGAGGGGCATGTAGGAGTGGGGTGCCCTATTGAGGGGAATCCCTGGGGGATGGATGCCCTATGGGGGGTGGGTGCCCTATAGGGGGGCGATCTATGGGTCGGGGCGCTATGGGGCGTGCTATGGGGCACGCTATGGGGCAGTGCCCCACCTGCAGGAGGGGGGTGTACTTGACGGTGTAGGAGTAGTCGTGGTTGTCGATGAGCTCGAAGTCCCTCACGGCCGGGCCCGGCCCCGCCCCCACGAACTGCACCTCCAGGGGGGCCTTCCCCGCCCCCCGCGTCTGCACCCGGAAGTGGGTGGGCTTTCCCGCCACCACCCCTGTCGCGATAGGCAGAGACCCTGTCGCGATATACACACCCCCCCCCTGCCCCATAGATCCGGCTCCTGCCCCATAGATCTGTGGGTCTAGACCCATAGAGGGCGCTCTGTGGACTCCCTGCCCCATAGATCTGGTTCCTGCCCCATAGATCTGTGGGGCCAGCCCCATAGAGGGGGTTTTTTGGACTCCCTGCCCCATAGATCCCCATCCTGCCCCATAGATCTGTGGGGCCAGCCCCATACAGGGCGCTCTCTGGCCTCCCTGCCCCATAGATCCCCCTCCTGCCCCATAGATCTGGTTCCTGCCCCATAGATCTGTGGGTCTAGACCCATAGAGGGGGATTTCTTGACTCCCTGCCCCATAGATCCGCCTCCTGCCCCATAGATCTGTGGGTCTAGACCCATAGAGGGGGGTTTTTTGGACTCCCTGCCCCATAGATCCCCCTCCTGCCCCATAGATCTGTGGGGCCAGACCCATAGATGGGGTATCCCTGCTCTCCTGGGTGCCCCCTGCCCCATAGATCCGGCTCCTGCCCCATAGATCTGTGGGTCTAGACCCATAGA